TTGAAACGGGCTGTTAAAATGGCAAAGTTTAACGTTAGAAAAGAAATTTCTATGTTATTATTTTATTATTTTATGGTAAATGAACGCCTCTTGCAGGCTTGTGCACACTAATGTGAACATACATGACTTCCTTGTACTGCCTATGAAATTGTAAGGTACATCCTAATTTTATAACAGTTATTTTAAATTAAAGCCCCTTTCCTATCTTCTATAGCTTCAGCTTAAAATTCCTCACTAGAATGAGTTTTCAGAATTGTGTTAAATGTTAATGAGAAGAAGAGTGGTATTTAAGTCAAGTTTCACTGTCTTCGAGAGAGAGAGTTAGGATTCCTGAATAGCACGCGTTTGCTTTTGGCTACGTCTCTTTAACTGTTACTACGCTCGGCCGTATAACGTGCCTTTTGATAGCTTCACTAGCTAGTTTAATATTACGGGCCAACTAGGTTAGGATTTGTGTTAGCTTCGGCTAAATTTCTTTAGTTAGTCATTAGTTAAATTTTTATTTCTTACATTTTTTGTATTTAAGACCAAGTGGAGGCTTTATTGTACGACCTGAGAAAAAGGCCAACTGTTCATCTTGATTTGGAGCAAATAAAGGGTAATTAACCCTTCTTGAGTTAGCGTTTCTGTTCTTGGACTTAAGCGATAATTCGCTTAGTATTTCACTAGGCTCCTCTACACTTAGTTAATAGATAAAAGGGAGGAACGTTACAAAATTATACACATTTCTTGCTGCTGCACTTCATTAAAACTTTTTTCCTTGTTAATTAACCAATTCTTCAAGACAAGGTGAAAATGACCTTAAGTCAAACTTTTTATATTTTTAGTTTTTCATAGCGAATATAAAACTTCCCCAAATAAAAATACAGAAAACGGGAAACTGCATTAAAAGTTAGATTTCACTAATTATCGAAAATTCTTTTTTAATTTGATGTCGTCAAAATATGAACATTTTCGTCATTTAAAACACTTCTGTAATTGGAAGTAAGTGACTACGATAAAAAAAAATTTGGAAAATAAAGACCAGGTACGGACTTTTAAGCGGGGTAAAGGAGTGGGTATTGATACTGTCGATTGAAATAAAAAACGGAGGTGCATAACTGGATACTATAGCTGGCCCATGTATAAAATTTCAAAGTTCTACGGTTAATAGTTTTCGAGTTATGTGAGATACATACATCTATACTTACGTACTGACATCACAAAAATATTCTTTTCGAATCCATTTTTAAATCCATTTCACAATCTGTTTTGGAAAACGAGTCCTTTATTCTGTACAGATGATACGCAAAAAATCGTCCAGATGTGTTCAGGAACGATTAAATAGATATTTCCGTTGAAATATGATACCCGACATGTTTCGCGGTTACAGTACCTCCTTTACTTTATAGGATTCCCCACTGTGTAATTCTAAGTTACAGTTAAAAGTGAAGAATCTTAAGAACTAGTAAGCGAATAATCGCTTGAGTTCGTAAGACAATAAATAAACTTGGAAAGGGTTAAAAGACCCTTTATTATTCTTGCAGGTGTACAAAAAAGCCGACACTTGGGCTTGAACTTAAGAGACTAAGAATCAAACTAAACTAGCGTTAAAATAAAGAAATATAGCCGAAACTATCAAAATTCTAACAGAGTTGGTCCCCTTAATATTGCGAAGCTATCAAAGGCCTAAAGTACGGCCGAGCGTAATAATAGCTTACTAGAGAGTAGCCTAAAAAGGCGGACGCGTGCAGCCAGAATATCTGGTAACTCTCTGACTAAGACAGTAGAACTTCGCGGTTAAATACCGCGCTTCCTCATTGGCATTTAGACGTGATTCTAAAACTACGTTCTTGCCGGAAGTGGTGAGTTGAAATCAAGAAGCGATATGAAAGGAAGTTTAACTCAAAATTTAACTTTTAATAAAATTAACATAATCCTTACAACTTTTTATAAGAAAGTGAAAAGAAAAGATTCAATTATATAAAGGAAAAGCTGTGCATTTATTTCACGTGGTTACCTGCTCAAGAGGCTTGCAGCGAAAAGTTTCTTCAAAGGGTAATATTGTCCCACTAGCGACCGAGCGGTAAAAGCCGCTGAACACTGGTTCTTCGGTCCGGGGTCCGAGTCCTTGTGAACGGGTTGGCTGCATGTGCGCTTTCGTGGTTTTCCCCGTGTGCAACGTGGATACGAACCAATTTCTTTTAAACAGACCTCCACGGGGTATCCCTCTCTTTCCGTGTAGTGCCTAAAGGCGGAGTACGTAATAAGAAAAAAAAGAGGGTAATATTTCTATTTCACCAGGATACTAAATCCTCCTAGGTGAAAACAATAAATGCCTGCAGGAAGTTACCTTCCAGGTATAAACGAAAATGTTTTTTTAAAATACTTTATTGCATGAATACAGCCTATAACTCATGCAGCGTGCAATATATATGTTCATTTACTGTTTATGTTATCGACAAGCTATGACAATATTTAAGGCTTAGAGGGCAACACTTATGCACGGATTTGTAATTTTATGATATTCTGTCTATTCTAAATGTCTTCTTTCACCAGTAAAATTCAAAACTAGCTATTTCGGAAGTGTGTAGGAAACAACATGTTGTATAATTTTTAAAAAATCGGAAAATGAACCCTAACGTAGCATGCCAAAGATGAAAAAAGGTGATTGTGAAAAATGAGACAGAATTTATAATTATATATTAATTAATTTGTAGAGATATTAGGTTAATTGGAAGAAGGCAAGATGAAAAATTAACAATCGCCTTCGCCGGGAATCGAACTACGGACCTCTGGAATACCGGCCCAGCGTGCAAAACCACTACACCACGAAGGCGGGAGAAATACCTTATATACTCCCCCTTTTAAGGCGACTGGGGTTTTTAGGGCACCCAATCGTCAAATCTCGGTGCAGAGAATCATCATCCAACACCCTTTTAGTTTGGGCGCCACTGTAGAGACATTGGGATATTTCGAGGCCGGAGAGATGAAAATTTAGCACACGCCTTCGCCGGAAATCGAACCAGAGACATCTGGAATACCGCTGAGTGTGCTAACCCACTACACCACGAAGGCACGCTAGGAAGGCGGGAGAAATACCTTATAAGTTTATACTTCAAATTTTACTTGAATTTCTTTCTTTATAAAATGATGTTCCATACCAATTAAATTGTATTAACAATTATGACAACATTTTATAGAATAAATACTTATCTTATAGACGAAGCATGTCTGTAAGAAATTCCCTAGCTTTTATCAGTAATCCTGTGAGGTACACGGCTGATTTAATAACCATTAAATACAAAAAATGTGAATAGCTCAAAATTAGTGGCAACGAACACATAATATCATTGCAGATCACCAACAATCAAATAAAGTATCGATAACTTAAACAAATTTTCTTGTAAGCCTTTATTTTCAATGATACCATTCTTCAGTTGCTGTGCATTTAAAAAAATTTTTAGTTTGAACACTATTCAAAAACATTACTATTGAACTTCAAGAAAAACTACTCAGTAGCAAGCGAGTTACAAATGAATTATAAACACGTTCTGCACTAATGAAAGTAATGAAATTAAAATTCGGAAAATTATCCAACTTACGCATTTATTGCATCTTTTAAAGAAATTTACTCGTTCCACGCTGGACAGAAAATACAGATTATACAACTAAGTAAGCTTTTGTTATAATTTAGCTTTCATGTTGTCATGACATATTTTGATTAAGTTTTCAGTATTAAGCAACTTAAATTTATTATATATATAATTGATAAAACTTTGACAATAATATATTTTATTGTCAAAGTTAGTTTTCTAAAACTATATGCTGCTTAAAAAATATTCTTTTTTTCGATTTTACTGGAACAAGTTGTTATAGGAAATAAAACAGTGGTATTTACATACGCAGAACAAGGAATAAATATTAAAGTTTTCTATAAATTCAACAAAATTATTTCAGTTTGCTGTAAAAGTCCTTAATTAAAAAATTAATTTGCAGTATTAAAACCCATTGTTATTAGCATTTTAAATGGCCAAAAAGTACCCTTAAATAGTAAAACAAATAAAGAGACATTTCTTGCTTTCTTCTGCTTCATACAGGTTTTTTTTCCCCCTCTTTTATACTGATTTAGCATCTTAAAATGTTTTAGGAACACTGACGGTAAACAGAAATAAATGGGATATGTTTAAAAGAACACACAAATTCAATTAACTTTCTACATATGAAGTACGTATGCATTTCCTGCTTAGGGATAATTTTAACTTCCTATATAAGGATAAAAAGAAAGAGAAATTTTCGTAAAACATTAGTGTTTCAATGAGGCATTAAAAGAGGGGAAGAGTTTAGAAACAAAATTAGTGACATTTAAATGCTGTAATATTAATAAAAACTTATGCCTATTGATGTCAGTCATATTTATCTAATAAGGCTAATTGTACTGCTACTACTTGCATGACTGATAATAACAAACACTGAAGAATATATGCGCGGAACATTTTGCTTGCAAATTTCGTAAACTAGGTGAGTGGTCAGGCGATAAACGGCGGTTATTATACAGCAAAATATCACTACGATGAAGACAAATCGGTTTGGAGGCAGCGGAGCAGAACCACCCCAACGGAATTTTGTTGGCTTCCCTAGTAACCATATCAACGCACGTGCCCAGAAAGCAAAATGGTCAGTGAATGGTTAATAGTTGCTGACCAAGCACTTGTTTTACCTGAGATTCACCGTCTCCAGGCAACCTGAAAAGCAATGGAGCTTTTGGCCTACTTTCGTGGGCTCGCTGACCAGGAGATCCCTGAGGAGAAGGTCCCGTGGTAGCCATCAGTGCTGAATGAAACTCTTCCAAATCCCTCTGGAACCCGCCTATCCAATGGCTTTTCAAGCCGTTTCTGAACCTCCCTCTGCTTCCCCGAAGTGGCAAAGTTTTGGTTGCAACAAGTTCAGAGATGTCCAGGTAAGAGTGTAACCAGGTTATCTTTCATCTTGTGTTCTTCCTGTTACCTTCCATTTCAGAAAGTGTGCTGTTCCATTTCAGAAAAATGTTCTGTTTATCTGTTAAGATTGGCTGCAGTTAATATCCTTTGCAGGAATTGTTTAATATTCTGTCTGACATAAAGATCTGTATAAGTCGTAAACAAAGCATTTAACGCATAATTTAACTCCGAAGCAAGTTAAAACATAAAAAGAAGAGAAGTGAAAGCAATATCTAAGAGATAAGAATGCAAGAATATTCCATGCTGCTTCTCTTTATTATTTTATGCGAAGATATGAGCAGATTGATAGTGTACGAAGCAAGAAACAAGGATCTAATATTACCTCAGCATTTCAGTCAATTAAAAAATGAATGAAGCGATTTTGTCAAGTGTGTATGCAATTCATCGAAATATCATCATTTTGATCCACATCGCATAGCTGATTTTGTATGAAGTTGCAGTTATGCTGCAACTGAAATTTATTCAGAAAAGTGAAAGAAAGATTTTCATCACAAACTTTATGGATACTCTTCCAGCACTAGTTATTTCTATGAAATTCTCCATTCTACAGTGCCTCTCAAATGATGTAAATATGGATATGTAACATAAAAATGGAAAAAATTGTGAACAAGCTTAGTAAAGGCCTAGGAATCAGCGCTTAATGGAATTCCAATTTATTATCATTAGACGAAGTAAAATTTCTCCAAATAAGAATATCATCTCTTCATAATACTGTAAAGAAAATTGTTTCCTTCGCGACAGTAAAATAAGTTTTTGACAATTTCAGTTGCTTTTTGGAATAACGGCTTATTCAACTACAGGGAATCAATCATATTTGCTTCATACGCGTGCAATAGCCTTGAACATCCTGTACTTCAATATCAATGCCGATCGTTGTTCTTGAAAAGGCACCACACCATGACAATTCCTCTACTTTCTCTTTGCAAAGGATCGGGCTACTTGGATAAGCCTAAAAAGAATCCATTAGAGTGTTTTGGTGAAAAGGTGAGCGGTATTTCTTTATTTACTCCCCTGAGCATAGCTTTTGGCAAATAGTGCAATCAGATAATTTAAATCAAACCGAGTAATTTTAGATAAACAAGAAGCAAAATTCATTTTATGAGCCTTATTTATGGCTTATATTTCTCACAATTGATATTTAAAGTCAGTTAAGATGACAATTAGCTTACCTACTTTTTTTGTTGAATTTAATTTTGTTGAAAACCTCGGAACGTAGTACTATAGTTTAGAAATTCTATAAGCCCATAATTGTTACTTTCATAGTACTTTTTCTTTGCATAGAATGGATATTTAGAACATAAAATATAACTATATGTAGGTATATGTAGGCAAAAGATGAATTTGAGGGAGAACCTCTGTTACAACGAAGCACTTCCGGGTCTGTGGTGATAGATTGTCTCCTTCCGACTTTTGTCGCAGTGTTTGATAACAGCTTAGACTTCAGTGGAGAATGGTTTTGGCGATGACAGCAAAATTTTTTACGATGATATTCGTGAACGTTTTTATTACAGACTCTGAAAAGTAGTTTTTTAATGGAATAAAATTTAGAGATTTACAGTAGAACACATCTCGGGAATTAAATATGAATTATTCTCTTAAAAGGCCTAGTTAATCATGGATGTTTAAATACGCCTTAAATATCTCAAATGCTTGACGGAATATTAGTTTTGATAAATTCTTTAATTACGGATGTCTTTTGAGTTTTGAATTCATTGACTCAGGGATTTTCGTATCATTAATTAATATATTCAGTTATTACTTCATTCCTGCAAATAAGTCTTAGTTAATTCAGTGGATCAAAAATTTAGCAAAACATTCTTTTTCTGGTAGCAGTTAGGGCTTAGTAAGCATGTTAAGAAGATTTCCTGGTTTTAACGCATCTGATACTGAATTAAGACACGAATTTTAGACTGCTAAATATTCCTCCAAACTATGAATTGCCGTTGATTAGTTTCAGATGAAGTTCTGAGATACGATACGATACAGGTAACAAAATTCATTAACGTGCTTATGTACTGAAAATTTTCAAAGAAAACGCCAGCCGTTCCGATATTTTTTTTTTTTTTTTTTTTTTTTTTATGCTAGAGGTGTAGTTATCAAATTAGAAATAAATCATATTGCTTAATTAGAATTTCAAATATGTTTTCTGTGTAGTATAATCATAGCAGATGCAGAATTTTTATAATGTAATATATGAATGTTTGCTGAAAACAAACGAAAATTTCCTGAAAAATATCATTGATTATTTACAAAGGTTGAAGAGTAATTGCCTTGTAAATTTTTCACGTAGCGATTTTGTTGTTACATTTTACGATGCTTTTGAATGCTTCATAAAAAATTTTAATTTCTAAAAAACAAAAACTTCTCGAGTTTCAAATTTACTAATCTTGGTGGGTTTACCAGGTGATTGCACTTCACCTTGAAAATATGTCTTCATCATATATGTTATATGTTATGCTCATAAAAGCTAATTTTAACGATTAAAAGTTTTTAACGACATATTTTTGAAACATTACTTCATGTATTACCATTGAGAAGCGTATTTCCAGATAGCAATGGCATATGAGAGATTGAATTTCAAGAAAAACGTAATACGAGTTAATTTTTAGGTAAAGGCCTGTAAGGAGTACAGTCTTGTTCTATGCTCGCTTTTGAAATCGAGCATAGGACGAAAGGCGATCCTAAGTGAAGGACAGAGAGGAAACTCCTATCTATTAAAGGTACGTTCAAAGAAATAACATTACTAAATTTTCCATATTTAGCTGGTGTTCACGCAAGAAGCCGCTTTGCACTGAAGTCTATTTTAAAATTATTGTTCACCGTTTCCTAATTAATTTTAATTGTAAATAATAAAAAAAAATAAGTGCACATATTTGCTTTGCATTGTACCCGACATAACTATCAGATAACTTGTTTTCAGCGTAAAACTAGCTAATGCAGTGTAAAGATTCAAAAAGAGAAAAATTCTTAAAAAATTAATAGATTAGATAACAAAATCTCATTATATCCATGACTTTTAAATTACTGTTTAATTTCATATTATTATTTACCGTTTATTAATTAATTTTAAGTGTAAATAATTAAAAAAATTAAGTGGTCAGGTGAACATGTTGCACGCATTTTTTTGCAATGTATCCGACTTATTACCAGAAAACGTATTTTAGAAAATGGATGGTAAGAACTCAAAAAGGGACGACAAATCATAAAAGTATTCATTGATATTAAAATTCCATTATATTCAATACGTGTGCTGTTTACATCTGTATATGTTGTATTATGCGGCATATATTGCACAGCGTTCATTGCATTGGGGTGTAAATTTATGAATGTTTCGAGTTCCACATGCTAAAAAATGTATAAACTAAATTTACCTTTCATGCTTTATTTGAACTCATTAGAATTTTTATTGACAGATCAGAAATTTGTAATTTTTGAATAATACGTTTCTTATGCTAATTTTTAGTGAATCTCATAGCATGTTAACTGAGCTTATAATAGCTGTAATTTTAAAATAATACTAAATTCTAATTCGGATTTATTCTTAAAATAAATTTTGGACATACTGACAACTAATATGAAAACTCTGATAAAGCAAATAGTTTTTAGCATACATAACATCAAAACTCTAATATGATGAAATTGTTTTAATATGACACCAGAGAATTTTATACATACCTTTCAAATGATGCTGTCAAACAAGTTTTTGCTGTCTGATAAAATTGTCCCATCAAGCATAATTTCAATGTATTGTTTTGCGAATAAACTACACATCAACAAATCAGTGCCTGAAAGCTAGTCCTTGGTGTGACAATATCTCACAGACTTTTAGCACAACAGAATTGATGTTGTGTAATGGCTAGCTTTTTACTCTACCTACTCCTCACTCAAAATTCAAAAATTAATTTAAATACAAGCGCTCTGGTCAAAATATGACTCAAGCATTCTTCAATAAGTAAATTATAAACTCTAACTCTCATAGAAATAATGACTAATATAAAACAAATATTTTTTTAATCATTTTAATTTCAAGTTGCAAATGTCGAAGAAAAATAGTTCTCTTTGTGATTAGAAAAACTATAGGTTAAGTTAATTATCTTAATAACACTGTAGAACAATAAAATATACGTAATGGCAATTTAATTAGCTTTCAATTGGACTTCTAGCTGTTACCTTTTAGTAGCTACCAAAAAGTAACAACTAGAAATCCCATTGCAAGTGAAGCTTCCTAGTTTTACTGCTACCTACTTTCTAGTGGTCCTAATTCTACTTTTGTCTGCTTTATAGTGCTTCTAGGTCTACTATTTCTAGTACTAGTAGTTATTTAATAGTAGCTACTTTCTTCAACAGCTGATCCTACTTTTAAAGTCAAGCGGATTAATCATTCAGCGATAGTATACGTAAGGGATTTTAATTAAATCTAACCCCATATATAGAGCACACTTGTTAATAATCCGCATCTCAATAATCCGATAATTATTTTATCATAAACCACTGTTTAAAATTAAAACTTTTCTCATGATAACGTCTAATTTTTGTTATAATTTCATAACTATGCTGTCATTTCCTCATAATCAAATTGACTAACGCTGAAGTTTAAGCAAAGTTGTAGAAAAGCAACATCAAGTTGAATTTGTTTCATGGCTGCAAGAACTAGACGAAATTCTGTATTGGTATTATATCAACTATCTCTTTTAATTGTTAAATAGTTTCAATTAAAGCAGAAAACATTTTTTACAAAACTTAATCAAATTTGCATAGTGAAAGGAAACTGTGCACAAGAAAGGTTGTACCAATGTTCTTACCCTTAAGACCTTTTCTATAAATGATATTAAGATTCTGAGTTTTTAAACCTTATACTTTTAAAGAACCTTAATTTAAATCTTCTGTCTTAGGAATATGATATAGCCATCTAACATTAGAAAAAGAAGCATTTGTAGTGGAAGTTGCTTGTATGAGAAATGGCAAAAGGGTCAGTGGCTTTTTCATGGAGTCTTTAGAAGAAAATTCTTTGATAATAAAACAATATTTTACGGTGTTTCTACTGTGACAGAAGTTTCTAAACCTCTTTGTATGAAGTAACGTACATCATTGTCAGACTGTTTAGGCATTAAAGGTACATTCACTGTATATTAAGGTTGCGCAGGATAAATTGCATCAACTTTTGATATGTAAAATTTTGATGCAACTACCAGAGTTATCCGATTTATTTACATTTCGTTTTTCGTTACCTTTTAATAAAACTTTACATATAATTATGTACATCGTTTTCGAAACCTCCAAATTGCCCAGCGTCTTCTTATCATTTAGTTAATTTTATTAAGAGTAGTGTATTTATTACACATTATAACATTAAAAGCACAGAAGCTAAATACCTATGCTTAATTCTTATAAATAATATAGAAGCGAAATTCTTGTAAAAAATAATACTTCACCGTAAATAAAATAAATAACTACATATAATAAAACTTGTATGTAATTTATAGAGGTTGAGATGTAAACTGTGTTAATTATAAAACTGTTCTCATTTTGAAAAAATCAATATTCGATTTTTATAAATCGTGATAATGCCATATAAAACGATTCCATTAACCCGGCCAAAATGTTTGATGACATAACAGTCAACATTTAATGATTTTCCACAAACATTTTGGGAAAAACTGAAACAATAGTCTTTCGCCTATTTATTATATTGTATTTGAAATTATCTAACAGCACTAAACTCGGCTTTCTCTCTTTCAGTTGTTATTATTGCTAACTTGTTATTGAATGAAAACGAACTGAAGAATAATCAATCTAATTTTTAAAAGCTTTTTGGTTAGCAGAAAATAATTAAGAACTAAAGATATACAACCAGTCATCCTAAGCTCTCTAGTTGTAAAGGATAAAAGGGGTTCAGACTATAAAACAACTAAAATTATAATAATTAATATTCAATGATCAATTAAAAGAATGAAGACATAATTAACTGACAAAAGATAACTATCTCTTGGATTTTGCTAACTGATTTACATTTTTTAGTCTCATGAAGACGAAATTATGAATCACCTATCGCTTTTCCTGCTGCTTGATTGGTATTAATTATTCTAATCTAAATTACATATTATGTATATATGTAAGCGACAATCCTGGCAAATTTCCTAATTGTGACCCTCTAAGAAAGAGATTAGGGAAACGACGTGGAGAGTTAGATATGAAAAATAATAGATTTGGAACACCCATCTCGCTCCCGAAAAAGAACCGCAAAAGTCTTAAGTAGCCTATCCTTAAGCAGCGGACGAGCTGAAAATCAAAAACAATTCATTACACTTAAGTAAAATCAAAGTCGTACATTATTTCGCAAACAAATAAATCAGAAAGTGTGCGAAAAGGATAATTACATGGCTTATAACCTTCAGAAGAGCAGAAATTAAACATGCAGCTAAAGGCATTCGCTCTAGATTCTGATGTAAATTAATCTTCACGATTGTGCATTCAGCGAGACGTCCAATAAGCTGGAAAGAAAATAATTTTGTGAAAACAATAAAATTTATAAGAAACTAATCATGTTTATAAGATTACACGTCTGCTAACCAGATAAAATGAAATGCATAACCGTAATGGTTTATACCAGATCTAATAACAATATACATCACACATGAGAATGAAAGACTACCAGTAAAACAGAAACATACAGTAAATTTTGGAATACAGTAAATATACATGCAATCATTTAAAAAAGTCAATTAGAGTGAGGTTGAAATGAATGTCATTAAATTTACTAACAGAGAAGGAGCTGTATAAAAATATTTACGGGTCTTTACTTGGTATGAAAACAGTTAATGAGTCCAAATACCATAACCTTTTCATTTAAACACAATTTAGAATATAAATGCGCTTTCGTGTGCTAAGAATATCAGCCGCAACTCGTAGTGATGCAATTAAAGGAACACTCAAATTCAAGTCAAAACATGGAATGGTTTAAGACTACACAATTTAAATTTTACTCTAAACTGAGTAATTCTAACCGGAGCGTCAAAATCAATTTGTCGGCAGTGAATAGCGCAAAGTCGAAAATTACGACTATTGAAACTGGCAAGAAATAATCGTAGCGCGCATGCCCAGGCCAGAAACACTCTGTACCTTAAAACCCAAAAGCATCAGTTTAAATGCATCTAACTTATTTGCATTCTGGCGAGGAAAACGCAAAGTAGAAATTATAGTAAAAATCCAAATCATAAAAAGCAAGTTAATTTAAATAATAATTAATAACCGTGTAGAGTCATTAGGTTAACTGGAAGCAGAAGAGATGAAAAATATGCAACCGCCTTCGCCGGGAATCGAACCACGGACCTCTGGAATACCGGCTCAGTGTGCAGAACCACTACACCACGAAGGCACGCTAGAGAAGCGGGAGAAATACCTTATAACCGTACATCTTAAAGTGCAGTAAAATTATTAATGTAAGCCTTGTAATGTTTAATAACATATAATTTCAAGTGATTAATATAAGAAAGCAAAAAGTAATCAAACACCTTTAGAGGATATCCAAGCTATCAAAAGTGGAAATCAACGTAGTTTGCTGTCTTTATAGGAATTCTATAATAGCGCATATTGATAACATTTCGAGTACCATTTGAAGCAGTAATTGAGAGAGAGAAGTAATTATTAAATTATTTAAATAGGAATTAAATGTACGCGTGCATTAAATTTATAAATACTTTTAAATCTCATTTTTTGGACCAAAATAATAATAAAGACACCTCAAAATACGTATGTAAAGAAACAGTGAGAGCATTTCCGCAATATTGGAAAAGAAAGAGAACCGGTGGTTTACAAATTAATGAATTTAAACAGCGATCTGCGAGGTTTGTTAGGGTTTAGAAAAGAAGCAGGCTCATGAGCAAATTAAAGGAGAAGTATGCACAAAGTAAGCAACCTAAGATAATTGATCATTGATCTTTAAATTTTACTCTGGAAGAAAATATTTGCGTATTTTGAATCCAGATATAGTATTTTTATCATTTAAACATATTTTTTGCAGAACTGTTTCAACATATAAACTTAGCACATGACAGACTTTCTTGAATGACTTTTCTTCTTAAGCAATTACAAAAACTTCAGTACAGTACTGTAATTACGCGAGTTTTGTCTTATGTTACAACATTACAATGTATATAAGTATATAAACAAGTTAATCTATTACCTTATGAGACAAACTCATACGGCAAAATTAATGGAAATGCACAGAAAGAAAGAAGAGAAAGAAAGACGTTTTTGGAATTAGCGAAATAAAAATTCACAACGCACATTTTAATGCAAACACTCAGTATTATCTGTCTAGTTTCATAAATTAAGAAACTGACCACAGATGAACAATACTTGAAACATTGAGTTAAATTAAACCGTCATTTTTACACCACTGAGGAAAAAATTTGCGAATTTTTGAAAGAGAAGGAAAAAGAAAGCAGTTTTGTCCAAACTTTAACAATGCTTTGATTCGCCAATGCATCAAGACAGTTTTTTATATTACTATCCCAACATCCTGAGTCCCCCCGATTTGACACTTCTTACAGCGCAAAGAATTGAATAGAACGTAAAAAATCGTATTCATACAAAGATTGATATATACCGAATTCTTCGCCTTAGGCGCTATTTTTTAGAATAAGCTCCATTCCTTTGACAGATTTCTTAATTCAGGTGATGAAATTGATGGCGTTAGAGTGAAAATAGCAGCCCATTCGTTTCTGTGCTTTCCGTAGTGTCAAAAGTTAAAAGCAGTCTTCTTGCTTGCAAAGATAAAAGGGTCCGGTGTAGAATAATTTATCACAGATTTCTTTCCAGGGCATTATTATAAAGACGAATCCATTTTAGAGTTCGAGTAGATATAAATCTGATACTAAGAAACTTTAATTTTGAGTTTTTGAGGCTTAAAACTTTTAAAAGTAAAAATATTTGTCTCATAAAACATAAAATGCTGCATAATAATAAAACTACTATTTATCTATAGTTTTAGAGCAAATGCTTACTGTAGATTTCCAGTTCGTTTTGATCCAATATGTCTGTCATTCTGAAGTAGGTAAATAGTTGGAGACTATATAATAATAAACATACAATATGTAAATACTTCTATAGGACTTTATGGCTATCTCTTCTGGAACTTTCTTCTAACTATTTCTTCTGGAATTATATTACTACATTCATATACTGCAGAAACAAGTAAATTCTTTCTTTCAAATGACAGAAATTTATTATGTGAATATTTTCGTTATGTTAGTATCCATTAAACAATGTTTTGTAAGGTATTTTCTCCCTCCTTTCATCATTCCTTCGTGGCGTAACGGTAGCACAGCGATTATTCGAGAGGTTCAGGTTCGAATCTCGGCGAGCACATTTTTCACTTTCCCTGTTTCAAAAATTCTAATGACTCTACATTTGTGCTTCGGAAGATTGGATTTATGGCTGCGCTTAAGAATGACTGCCACAGAGTGTTACCTGTGGCACAAACCTGCTACAAAATAACATTTTTCTTAATTTAGAAGGAAGGCAATCATTGAAATTTGTGATACTCACGCATCGCATTGTTTCGCTTGCATTGAATATTTTGATATTCATGCTTCATGTTGCTTCACCTGCAAATCGCAGTAGGCAGAAACTGGAGATGAAGATGGGTATTTGTTTTTGACTCATGAGAGGCAGACGAGTTTATTTTCAAGAGTTATTCCAGTGCATTTACAATCTTGATGCTTACTCCTTGCAGATATAAGGATGACATGCATTTAGTAAATTTTTTTTTGCCGATTATCATAGCTTTAAAGTTTCGATTCAAAATTCTAAAATAGTACCTACTTGAGTTAGTCTTCAAAGCGAGTCAGGCTATTTTGTGCTTATCTCTCGAGGATTTTTCTAGATGACCCTTTCACAACAAGATGAAAATCATCTGCATAAACTCTCAGTTCGAAAACTACCTTCAGATGGTGAAAGAACACCCTTGGTTACAGAGTTCCACAAATTCGGTCCGAGGAAAGAGTCTTGTGAACAACTTGTGTTCCCTGTGATTTAGGGTTCGGTACTGCTAGCAGTTTATTGTGACACGTCTGAAGATCTTTCCCAAACTGGGAAGTAAAGCAAACCGATCGCTAGGATTTTAGATTATTTTCTGACACTTTTTTCTCCAGACAAAGTACAACTTCTTTTCAAAATAAAGTTGGATATACCATTTCCAGCAGGATTTGATCGCCTTTATAAATGCGTGTTGAGCTAAAGAGTTGTGTCTTTTTAGGTCAAACACTGCCATCCTCCTCGGATTATACCTTTTTTTTATCCTGAATGGTGGAAAATTATGTCGGAACTCTCTATGAACATTAACAGCGAGTTTTACAACAGTCCGGATGTTCACAGTAAAGGATCCCCACCTTAATTATATTCACTTTGCTATATTGATAGAGGAGTTGTTAAATAGCTGAGTAAACAAATAAATGATAACCTTAATACTTGCCTAAATATTATTCTATAATTGCCTTCGATACTATCTCTCTCTCTCTACATATACTTACGCATATTATATACGCATATGTTTTTCAATTATTTCTACTATTTGTAATCGGATTCACTTTTGTGGCAATTGCTGATGATTTCTTTCTTTGATTCAGAAGCATGAAAACGTACTGATGAATTTCGAAGAATTAACGTTTTGCACATGTAAAAAAATGACAATGTAAAATAAGAGGCTAAAAAATAAGAGAATCAAACATTTATTATTTGAATCTAGAATGTGCTTAGTTTTCTTCATGTGAAATCCCATTAAGAAGATACTTGGTAAACAATTTGTCAATTTTAATACCCATTAAGGAGGCACTTGGTAAAAAAAATTGTCAATTTTGCCTATTAAGTACTTATAGTCTGATTTTATTTTGAAAAAGCATACCAACAATACTATAGCGCGAATTTTGATTTTTGGTTATCAATCAATTTTTTCTGCACTTTCCCACTCTCTGATGATTTAATTTAATTTACGTTTTAAAATTCCGTGTGTCGTTTTTATTGTTTCATTTCAGGCTCTTTCCGCTATGAGGGACACTCCATCCATGGTACAGAAACTCTTGGAAGAGGAAAGGGAAGCTGTCAAGGTACGAAAGTAAAATTAAATTACCTTCATTTATGAATCCTAAGCCTTTTCTTGAATATCATTGCGTATTTATCATTTCAGTCTTCGGAAATTTTAACTCCATCAAAATTTTATTTATTGTGGAATAAAGCAAAATACCATGAATTTCGCTCAATTTCATAAAATATTACTCTCAGATCTTTTTACTTAAATATTTGTTTGGTAAATGTTTAAGCTATTTCCTGAAAAACCTTTAATAAAAATAAATGTCAATTTAAATTTTATAATATAATTATTTTTTATATTTTAAATTAAAGAAGACTTCATCATATTTGGATGTATTGGAATACCTTAAATTCCTAAATAGCTTATTATTTTTATCTTTCCAATTACGGTTTAGTACAAGGTCTCTACAGGAAGAGAAAACTCATAATTTCCTTTCGACGGAAGAATCTCTACAATTTCCTTTCAGCTTTAGCGTATGTTTCAAAAGCATCAACATGCAATGAAGTGCTTTGTACAGCTTATGATAAGCTTTCCTGTTACTCTTATGTACCATCAAAAGCATGTTTGTTATTTTATTGACACGTGAAGCCGCATGTTATCTCCTCCTTTTCACCTCCCTTTCACTTTTAGTTGTTACTTCAGATTTTTGCAGAAATTTGGTCTCTGAAACTTTGAACAAATTTATCACCACAGGTTGTTTGTTTCTCCAGAAGCCACAAAAAAAGCGAAATAAAAACAGAACACTTTCACATAGATTTCTTGAAAAAAAAATGTAAATAAAGATTTCATTGTGAATATACTAAGAAAATAGTCTTTCCAAATTTGAAGTTTGTCTCTATGAAATTTGGAATAGTATTTCCTTTCCTTAATTAGTCTCTTGAATCAGATATATTTTCGCATTTTACTAAAAATTATTAATGAAATATCCGGCAATTTTTTCCTCAGGTTTTATATCAGCCAATGCCTAATGGGCAAACGTAGCATTAAGTAAAATGTATGCATAAATAATCAAAAGGTAATTCAAATAAATATAATATTATTTGTAAAAAGACTTATTGCTTCATGATTTTAATCTTTACATATACTATTAATTATGTATGCAAATAGTTTTAAAAGCAATAATATGTATTTGCAAGTACACGCACAGTAATTGGAAGCTAAAATAAGCAGCAGTAAATTTACTTTACGTGGGTATAAAAAAAAAGGAAGTAGTTCTTATAAGAAAATAAATAAACAGAATTTTGAGTGAGTTAAAAATCGTATTCATTTAATTATACTGCTATACTCATATACACAATGAAGTAACTGTCCTGGAGATACCTGAAGCAATTTGCTTTTCGCAGCTATAATGTAAATTAACCGCTGTGATTTTTGTAGGAAACATGTCTCAGTTCTTCAACAAAGAAGACCAACTGGAAGAAAAAGATAATTCATTTTTCAGTTCCGCGTAACTTCACTTTTCACCCGGAACTGATCAGTTTGCAGAATTGTTGAACAGACTGGCTCGCTTCATCGTTCGTTCGAATTTAATTTCCTAATGGAGAGCAATGAGGCATACATACATATTTTTGCAATTGGGTCAGGAGGGGCGATTGTCCTTCTTTATATGGCGTGAAATAGCATAGCGACAATGATTCACCTGTAGGGTTTTGACTGATGCGAAAAAATACCAAATAGTACGAAGAATTCCTATTGGATGACCACACCCAACACACCCATTCCCTTTAACTTGAAGCTTGCATTATTGCCATGGAAGTTTCAATTGCATAGCAGAACACAACCTTAATTAATCCTATGTATTATTAAAATCAGGAAGTAATTATGATTTTTATTTTAGCTATTTTTATCAAAGCAAAATAGCTTGAATAACTATGTAACATTTTAAGCCAGTAGGTAAATGCAAATAAAGATGAAAGAGAGATGTGTGTATATGCCAGTAATTAATTTCGAGAATAAATTTTAATTCGAACTTTATGAAAATGTAAGTTCATTAAGATTAATTACTTTCTGACTAAAAATGCTTATTAACATTAGTAGTAGTATATATTTAAACGACGAAAATTAAAGAACATGTTTAGAGTTAGGTAACTATTGCCTTTATGTATACTGAAAGTAAACCTTAATTGCAAATCTGAACTAGGCAAAATTGCAAGTTAACAAATACGTTGCCAACAAAAATATAACTTAATAGAAAAATGTTGCTTTTCACAGCAATGAAAATATTGCTTTTCAAAACGAATTTGAAAAGAAATTTGATATGCATAATTTTTCAATACTTTATTTGTTTATTAATTTATTTTTAATTTGTTTTGAAAAATATCAAAATTTTTTAAAGCCTATAAATTTTGCATATTCTTTTTAACTGCTCAATATAGTAATAATATTTTTGAGAAATATGAAAACATATTTCGTTTCCTTCCTAAAAGATTTATAAATTTTCGAATTAATAAGAAAATTCATTATTAATATTACTGTTTTATTTTAAAATGTTATAAGTATTTTATTGAGCCAATAATCTTTAATATTTCCCGTTACATAATGAGTTCGAAAGGTTTGATCTTCTAAGGTAGTCAAATTGTATCTTAATATTAAAGCTGATAAAATGTGATTTTTGAATACTCCTAGGTTTATACGTTTGCGTTTATGTTTTCATTACAGTCAGCTCTTCAAGCAGTTGATGAACACATGCAACTAAAGAAGAAGGAAGTGGAAGAAGTCCATAGAAAATTAATGAAAGATGAGCCTCTGAAGGATCATATTAGATCTACATTTCAAATGGATCTTTCCAAAAGTAATCGCAGTAATAGAGCAACGAGTGGTTACGCACCTTCATACAATCCTCCAGTAAAAATTCAGGTAAGTTTTCTAGAATAAAAGTAAAACGAGATGCTTTAAACAAAGGTTAATCTTGCCTAAAATGGTTACTATGCTTTTATCCAAATTACGCATTCATCAAGCAATAAGGGCATAGAAGAAATATTAAGTTAAAGACAGTAAACAGAAACAAATATATTAATCATTCCGTTTCAGTTAAATATTTCTAATGAAGTTGTAAGATAATATAAAAAATTCCTTGAAAAAATGCGTGTGAAATGATTTTATTTTACTCTTTGTGAGGTCTAGTCATTAAATTTCCTTATTCAACCTGCTACTAGCTAGAGCTAACCCCCAAATGTAATGAATGAGTTATCATCTTCACAGACGCAAAGAAATTTATTTAATGAACATAAATATAAGTAAACGGTACCTGAAACATCTATAGGATTTTTATTAGACTATATCAGTCACATTTACAAAAAAGATCGTTAAGCACTTCATTTAATCCTGGTTTTATCTAACTTACTCTAAAACAAGGCGTATTCGTGTTAACTGGTAGACCAAAAGAAGTTACGCCACATAAATGCATTGAAAGCGATTTATCGTGAAATAATTTGATTGCGAATACTTTTATTGAAAGACTCTTGTCGGTTAGGCATTTCCCAGACATTGTAATCAAATATTTCTATTATTTAGCCATCTCATCACAGACAATGTTGCTCAGGGTGCACCTTAGGGAGCGACAGATTTTACAGTGGTGGTCAGTCTTCACTAACCATTACCGCCTCCGAAGCTGTAGAGAGTCAATATGAGGAAAACTTACTGTTACTTTTTGCACCGAGTTCATGTTCCATGAATTTCATTGATCTTAAGTACGAAGTACGACTTATGAGTCTTCTAATGTTTAAATGCCATCCAATAAATCTTTCAAACGTCTGAAGAAAGTAAATATGTTTTATATTCAAGGCAATTATGTACTATGTAATATGGACACTTTGATTGGAATTTTAAACCACGTTCCTTGTCGTAACAATTACGCAAAACAGGAAAGTAATAGTTGTATCCGAAGCGAGTGTAAATATAATTTAGTTAAGAGTCATTTAAAACTTAGGTCGCAGTTGATTTATATGTATCGCAAGGCCCATTTCATATTCTAATAATTATACTATTTTTTAATTAAATAACAATCTGTGTCTGACAATAACATTTTCTTTTCATATCTCTGTTACTTTGAAGATATTCAAAATTGTTTTAATATTTTCTGCAGCAAAAACCTATTTTTCTTGAAGCCATATACGAAGAAGACAATGATTCGGGAAATTTATCCTTCAGCAGTAACAGGAATGAGAAACGCCCTGAGAGAATCAGACATAGTGCGATACCAAGGAATACTACAGCAAAGGTAAAATCGACTATCTTACGTAGAGTAAAAAGTTTTAAGACCGATTCTCTGATTCAGAATTAAAATCCTCTATGATTCTATATTTTTTCCTTTCATTATTTTTTTTTCAAGTCTGAGTTCTTCATACTGAATTACATTTTTGGCAGATTTTTAAGTGATTCAAAAACATGAAACAGTATGTTTTGAGACTTTTGTTTTAGACAAGCGGACATGTCATTTTCTCAGCTTATCACTTGAAGGAAACTTCTATTTAAAAGTAGACGTTTATACAATTCAACGTTCATTATTTGTTTGTAGGTGGGCAGTGTTGACATGAAAAATAACTTTTTTCTTGATCAAATCTTGTCTTTTCTTCATAATGAGTGATATCGATATTTATAATCTGAACCGATTACTTACTAAAAGAATGTGCTTCGTCGATCACTCGCTTGTATCCTCCAGGAACAGGCCCCTATCACTGAAATTCTAAAGTACGGCTAAGTGCTTCACCATTATGTTAAACCTTATATAGTTTAAAATAAAATTTAATCACATCTTTGCTGTATAGTCGTAGAGACATCTTAGTCACCTGCAAATCAAAGCATGCTTTTATTCTGTATGTCCATGAACTGTGGGTTCAAATACATCGTTAAATAACATTCACAAAATTTAGTTGCGCTGCCGATTTTAATTTCGGAGAGAGAAATAGAGCCAAACTTAAAAGTTTTCAGTCGGCCTTGTATACATTAACAGCTGGTAATTGCATTGTAATGCAGAATTCAAATTAAATTTCAATTAATAAAATATCAGTAAATCGATATTTAAATTCACTAGTATAAACTACGCAAATTCCTGTGTCATCAAACACATTCCGTGTTTCAAAAAGATGCTGAACTCTAGAAGAGCTGTATAAACTGGTAATATTTCGATTTTCACCAAGTAAAGAAATGATGCGCGATAAAAACTTGTTGAAAATTCAGTATAGATAAAATTTTAATCTAAGAATAGTTAAACGTGAAGAGAGAAACAAATTAAGAGGAAAACAAATGTTATTTATAACGCATTTCTTCTGTAGGGTACATGGCGGAGTTCTAAAATCACTTTCATTTCAAAGAAATAATTCGGATAGCTGATTATTTTCTTCTCTGAACGCTTAGTAACTTAGCATAATTCTACGTAATCACTATCGATTATCGGTGCATTTTTCACACCATTTCATACTCGTAACACTCGCAAAATAACGTCTTTTCTCATATATCTAAATATATCCAGTGCGATTGCGTAGATGATGTAACCCTTGATTTTCAAGAAACACCAAACATCAACGAATGTCAGATCAGTAAAATTGTTTATTGGAATACGATAATAACGTCCTTTCCACTATTTCCACTCTTACAGCTTATGTCCGCCTAAAAACCATGAATTGGGGAAACACTAGAAGTCAGTTGGAACCAGCCAAGATAATTGAGTAAGTTTGAACCAAACTGATTCACGAAGTCCAAAGACATCACGCTATTTGTTGTTAATGTTACGAATAATGTATCCGACGTCTGAATGAATGGATTAGAAAAACCTATATTGAAAAATGTTGAATAATTTAATTTTAAGAAGTGAAAAAAAAGCTACGGAACTCTGGAATACGCGTCCAGCGTGCAGACCACCACACTACGAAGGCATGCTAAGAAGGCGGAGCAATTTTTTATAACTTTATAATGTACCCCCTTTGTCTCTTTCACGGCGACATTTCACGCAGGAACACAACATTTAGGATACAACTGTGAAAATTTGACAGTTAAGTCTAATATAAAAACTGAAACATATGGATTTCTTTTACTTCCGCTCTTAATAACTTACCTAACTTTTATCCAGTCGCTTATTTAATTTTATTTCACAATAAAATAAGGTCATACAAGAGACATTCGTTCTAATAGAACATTAAACGTTTTCGAATATCCCAGCTATACATAAAAATCCAATTTAAACAATGCTTTACTGTTTTAGTAAAATTCGGTATAACTTTTGTTTCGAGAAGTTGATCACGTTTTTTCCTCAAATGTTTTCTTTAACACAAACTTCAGTTGTTTAAGACAAAACTTGCATTAGAGGGTTTTTTTCTTCCTTCTAATCAGCAGTATTTAGCGTCAGAGAACACATCAGAAATGTTTTAAACTTCAACGTATAAAGTAGAACTAGCCTAAAGTTTTAACAGACTAAATTTGTTTGAAAAACAGGACTACATACCTAAAATTTTTCACGAATTTAGAAGCTATTGAAATCAAATACACGGTTGTCACGATATATCAGGTAATTTGAATACGTCAAAGCATAAGAAAGTCATTTGCCTAAGTAAAGCAACAAGGGCTGTCTGAAGGACGTTTTAAGAGACACTGACTAGTATTCACGTTACACATGAGGAAAACTAATCATCCAGTTAACCAATTTGCCTGGGATCGAACTGTTAGTATTCAATAGTCTTAAACACTCGACCACTGATGACGCCACAGTTGTTACGAAAAAATAACAGTTACTTCAGCCTCAAAAAGAATAATAATTACAACACTTACATTCATTTTCTGTGTAACTGTAATAAAATTAATTCATTTAATTTTATCATTTACATATGATTTATATAAAGAAATATAACTGCACAAAAACATACGAAACATGCGAAGGGTGAAAAGGCTGTGTTATTCAAATCTAGAAAGGATTTACAGTCGGCACTCATGGTGCTTATAGCTCAGCCAATACTTTCGGCTTTAACTCAGAAATAGAAATATAAAATTTAAAAATTTAAACTAAGCTAAATAATCATCTGAATACCAATATGAAATACACTTAAATGATACCTAAAGTGAATAATTTTTATAGCTTATTAATTCAGAGTTAATTATTCAATAAAAAATTAAACTCTGCATTTAAAAAGCAAATTACGCTATAGCAGTTTTTAATTTTTGTTTAATTTCACTATGCATTAAAAATGTTTATATACAATTTGCTAACTTTGTAAGGAATTCTCTTTCTTTACCGCGCTGTATTATTACCTCACACCTTCGTGCTGCAATTGGAAGCATATCCGGCTAGGAATCAGGAGGTCCATAGTTGAGGAATCCTACCCCTGGGAAGATTCCTCATCCCGAGGAAGGCTGAATCCCGGGGAGGGCTGAGCTAATTTTTGCTGTTTCCTGCTGCAACATAAACACAATGACACAACAATTCTATACTTAAAGTAGCATTAACGTAGCTTATTACATTTAAACATAATACCTACTGCCTTTTAAACTTTTTTGCCAAACTGTTTAACATTTCACACACAAAATTGCTTTTATGTATTCAAATTTCTGGTGTTTTTCTCTCAGTCTCGGTGCTCGTTGAAGGATAAAGTATCATCTGCAAGGCCCAGAGGCTCAGAACTTTCTGTCCTTCCACCTATTGACATGGGCTGGAGCAACATCCCATCTGATGGCTGCTACACGGGGCCTCTCAATTATAGGTGGCAACGCGTGGCTGACAACTACATCGACAGTGATCTCCGAGTCCGGAGCAGGTAAGCAACTACCCATTACTTTTAATAGAAACCTTGCAATACAATCAAGCCTGTTTGCCTTATTTTGTGTAAAACTTTTGCATACATTCTATACGTTATGTATTCTACTGGGAGACTCAAAAGTCGCCTACATTACCCTTTTAAAATTTTCGGAAATTTCAAAATAGATATTAATGTCAGTTGTTTCAGCGGATGGCATCCTTGTACTGTTACAACTAATATAACACTTAATATTTCAGTTACAGTTCAGTTAGCTTTAAAAGTCGTTCGTTGGGTTCAAGATGGAGACGAGTTTACCCCAAGCAGAATGAATTTTTGTGATTGAGTTTTATTTCACAGCGCATTCTTACAGAAACATTTAAAGATATGGTCTCAGATGTTCGTGAACCTAACAAGACAACGATTTTTGCTTGGTAATCTGATTTCGAGAAACCGGAAGCGTTAATCATAAAAAACGAAGTGGCTGCTGTCCTCTGAGTTCGAATAAAATAGACGAAATCAGAAAAATATTGCAATAATCAACAAAAAGTGATAGAAAACATCACAATCAAATTTATTATACGAAGGGACTCAAATCGTTTTTCACAGGGAACACTTCCACTTTCTCAAAATCAAGTCTTCAAGGGAAAATCGCAGTTTTGTTTGGTTTATGAACATTTGGAAAGATCCATTTGAACGCTTCAACAATATATCTGTAACAACGCTCGATCATAAAAATGTTTTCTACTTGCGAAGCATTCTTCACCAAAAAGTTTTTAAAGCTAACAGCATAAACTGCAGCTAAACTTTCAAGCAATAATACGAGTATATTACTTGCAACATTTCAAGAGCGTTATCCGCTGAAAAACTTACCATTAATATCCATTTTAGGAAATTTTACATTTTTTGGAAATTTCGTGTGCTCGACTTTTGAATCACTCTATACATTATTTCGCATTTATTTACCGTGGACTTGGGAATATATGCCTTGTAAGGTTAACATATTATTTCTTACGTTAAATCTTTAGTATACGTCTAGTGTTTCGTCTTCTTTATCAGAATATGAGTTTAAATTGGAGTCAATGTTCAGGCACCAATTCCTTGCGATATTGCGTTTGAGACATTAATAAATACAAATTCATAAATGTTGTGGCCACCAGAAAAATTTTTCTAGTAAAAGAGGAAAAAAAAAAAGAATTTTCTAGTATGTTTACATATACTATTTTTTTTAATAAATTGCTGTCGTAATTGTATTAAATGAAATAATAAATAGAATTTTACTATTTATTTAATTAAATACTATATAAATTACAAAAGTTTTAAATGTTATGAAAGATTCTAGCTAAATTAAAGTTACTTTTGTTGGTTAGATGTTTACTTGAACTGAGAAATGAGTATTCGTTAAGTTCAAATCTGCATCAATAAACAAAATATGCAAAGGGTGAAAAGGCTGTGTTATTCAAATCCTAGAAAGGATTTACAGTCGGCACTCGTGACGCTTATAGCTCAGCCAATACTTTTGGCTTTAACTCAGAAATAGAAACATAAAATTTAAAAATTTAAACTAAGCTAAATAATCATCTGAAGCTGCACAGATAATTAACGAGAGCCCTACCCCCCGACGTAGACAAGCCGGCAATTCATACGCCCGGCTGTAAAGTAGCGAGCTTAAATATCAGAGAAACAACGTGGCCGAAAGGCAGAACACGCTCTATCTGAAGTAATTCAGAAACTTAAATAGTTTACCCTGCACTGCATAACGCGCGAAACTGAAATGTCATTCTCGCAGGAAATGGAAATGAGAGAAGATCGAAAAGATAATTTAGTGAACAAAATTGGTTACTTCTAGATATGTAGTAAATAACTTATATTTTCTAGATAGTGAAGGAATTACTGTTTATTATAGTAAATTCCTTTTTTCGCGCATATTTATAATATTTAGCAAAAAATATTATTTTCTTAAGGCCGAATTACGTCAACGCTATTGTCTCTCACCAGGACCACTACAGAAACTTAATTTCAATGAAAGTCATTCAGCAACTCGTAGTAGCAACGCTAAGACATTAACAGAGGAACTTGAAACACGGCAGGCTGAAACTGCCAATCCCCTTTCGTAAGCTTAGATTCTCAGTCCTGCTTTAAAACTCACTTCACTTACATATTCTGGTTGAATAGACAAAATAATAGACATTCAGGAAAGATTCAGGATGAGAAACAACATGTTATAAACCTTACAGCTTCATTAGTGCTTCTTTCTGGATGAAAAAAAATATTTAAGTAAATTCCTTTTAATCAAGTTGTTTTGGGGACAGTGAATGTCAGAGAGAACTTGCGCTTAATTTAACAAAAATGTAATTCTAATTTTAGCTGATTTTCTAAACTTTCGGATTATTAAATGCTCCTCGTTATACGTTATCAGGAATGTATGTAACTGATTGGTTAAATATTGTACACTGCGAAAAAATAATATGAGGGGGGGGACAGTTCTATATCTCCCGTTCTACTGGGCCGACTGACAAAATTCAAATTGCGTTTTTCATGTCTCGAAAGCATAATTTAGGAAATATATTAGATTTATATGTAGCATTGTTCTAGCATAGGTATTTTGACACAAAATCTGAATTTTTTCTGAAATAACATCTTAGAGTGGAGCCATTATTTAAAAGAATTATCAAACCTGAATCATCTCTTCCGTAATTCAGTTTTTATGTTAAAGGTACATTTAAGGAATTCTGCCCAGGATATATTCTAAATTCACCTTAACGTTTAAGTCATTTTCTCCTTTAAGTTTCATTAGCGAATTACATCTTGGTATTCAAATAGCATTGCACTTGAAATAAAACATTAATCAGAATAAAGTTGGTATCAATAGAAATGTGAGCCAGTTTTTTATAGTTTACATAATTATCAGGGTATATCCCGCTAAATATGCGCAAATGAAATATCAATAATGTGTTATAGTAAAATGTCAGCTTCGACAGCGATCAAACTTAAGAAAGATCACGTCTCGACTCGAAAGAAGTCTCTAAGACAAAGTTACCGAAGCTTTTGCCTGCTTTTTTCATAAAAAGGCAGATGCTCTCAAATGTTACGATAAATTGCGAGATCAGCGGGTTTAAATTAATAAGCTCAGCATTTAACTTTCACATGCGAACATCAGGAGTATTTTCAAATTTATGGTAAATTACTGACAAAAGTTTCTTGTTTACAGGAGACGCTGCCGTTCAAGAGCTCTGGATACAAAGTTACGTTTGGGGTATCAAGAAGATGATGAGACAGAAGATGAATGCAATGGACTTGTTGAAATAGAAATGAGACTGCCAAGAAAGAGGCAGATAACATTTGGTCCGCCTCACAGTACGTCATATAGTAGATGGTTTAGCCATTTTAATAGTCTGGACAGTCACTACAACTAATAAATTGAACAGTAAAAGTTTTAGAGAAGACATGTGATGTAAGGTCAGTCCAGCTAGAGTTACGTTGCATCATTACGTTCCTTTTCCAAAAGAAGTTTTTAGTCTACGAATGTTGTACTAAAAACTTCATCAAGCCTGGATTTTTAAAATATTAGCGAGATGAAAGACGTCATCAGCTACTGCAAAAAAAAAAAAAGTCAAATGTGATAATGATACGTTTAATCTCTCAACTAATCTCAGTTGACGAAAGTTAATTATTGATATTCATGTAGCATACTAATATATTTTCTATACAGTTTGACCGACCTTGCTCTCAAAAGCTCTCCATCTCCTGATGCATGTCAGCATCTACAAAGCTCCTGGTGGAGCCCTTCTCTTTCGTGATTTTACGCACTAACGATTGCTCATAATGCAAATAGTATCCGTCGATCTTCATTATTATCAGTCAGACATTGTAAAATAGAAGGATGAGCCGTTTATGTCGATCAAAACTTCAGCGCATCTGTTTAATCCCTTCTGCAACGAACAATGGATGTCCATGGCAATGAGGGGCATTGCCCGGAGGAAAATTGTGCAAGTTTTCTCTCAATTTCTTTTATGTAATATTCCAAAATAATAAAACCGGATCTATATGTTTCACAATATCGAGTTATATGGGTTCGGAAGGAATTATTCCTGTCTAAAAATATGCCACCGACGTACTGCTTCAAAAAGTGAGAACTGATACAGGACTTTAAAATGCATATAATATCTCTATCTGTGACAGTCTGACAGCAAGAATGTGGATTTAAAATGAAAAGCCTCCATAATGAACTGCCAAGAAAACAGATCTGTGGTTTATATATTTTTACAAAAACGTTGAAAGGCAATCCGCTTTAACAGGTTTTTCAAAAACCTCGCAAAAAATATTCTTAAAATCATTAAAAGTACTTGGAGCGTGTTTCAAAAATATTGCAAGACTAAATATCTCTTAAAAGATTTTTTGCAGACACGTGGCTTCAGACTGAGAAATTAAGAAAATAAGGTAGGCTTTTCAGAATACGATAATTTTGGTCGTTTAAGATATTTTAGTAAAAGTGACAGAAAATTTTTCTATGGTCAAAGCAGTGAAATCAAATTGGCATATGATTAAAATTATCAGATATATCCAATTAAGAATTTGAGGGATTGTATTCGCATATCCCTAAGAATAGTAATATACGTTACGTTTTCAATGGTAAATTCTAAAAGATACTTTTTATGTGGGTTTAATGCAGAAGCCCGTGTCTCAAATTTCCAATAAACAAAAAGCTCGAAATTTTTACTTCACAAAATTAAATTCTTGTATGACCTCGAAACCCGAATGGTTTTGTAACAGGCTAAAGGGGTTTAAATAATGAAATTTTGATATTTTTAGAGCCAGTTTTGCACATTACAAACCAGTTTTCTCCTCTCTAAAAGATCTTTAGATATGTGAGGTTCAATACATTTTCGATAAAATATGTGTTGCGACTAAATGTGTCAAACACCAAAAGCCTACCCCTGTGATTCCTTTCACAATTTCATTCCTTGATTCATTTTCAGCTGGATGAAGATATGAGATGGACTGGCCAAGAGATATTTAGCCAAGCAATCTTTTTGAATGAATCTGTATAAAATGATGTGTTATTACATTCTAGAGACATCAGTTCAACGTCTAGACTTCAGTTCAGTTACTGAGAATCAACTACTTTCGCAACTAGTTCTGGCCAAATTTTGAAAGCGCTCTATTTCTAATTTTCACAGTTAAAAATCTTATAAAATCGTTTCCCAAAACTTTTAGTTAAGTCTAATGCATAACAAGAATGCGTGCAACAGAATAAAATTACTAAAATTCACATAAAAAATGCTAAAACCATATACTTAAATTGTGCTAAAATTCATTGTATCTAAATATCAGTCGCTTACCTGTTTCGCCACTCTGTGGCAAAATAATCTGACGTTAATGCTGACTACCTGCATATTGTAAAATTATTTATAAGGTTTCCAGCTAGTAGCCAGGTATAAATAGAGTAATAATTTAGTTGCTATGCATCTCACCTTAAGTTACTGAAATTCTTAAGCTGAAATTTGGTAATGTATTGACTAGTTAAAAAAAAAGCATAAACAATATTCCGGACTTCATCTTTCTCCAATCCCATTACTCCCATGAGTAAAAGGGTTTCCACTTTGGAGGAAAAGTTAATCCGAGGATAATCTCAGGATCACTATTATAGTCTCGATCAGTAGGACCAAGATCTGCCTGCTTCAGTATTGACTAGCAGGTATAAGATCTGCATACTTCAGTCTTGACTAATAGGAATGAGACAGCTGCTTTCGCAATTCTTTCTACCATTACAGCCTGTCTTTAATAGCTTGTTATTTAACATATATATCTAGAAATATCTCGCTTCATAACGAATAAGATGACAACAGAATAATAACAAGACAAAAATAAAACCTTATAAATAATTTTAGAATATGCCCGAAGTAATATTTAATATTGGAATAATATTTAAAATAACTAAGCAAACATGAAAGCGGAGTAATTTCTTCATTTCAAATCTCTTATCCTAACAAAATAAAAATATAAAAAATAAGATAATTAAGCATTATTCTCCTTTTATACGCTATATTCATACCATCAAAAGAAAAGAATAATTTTCTCTATAAAATACTAAATAAAAACTCAAATCAAACCAGCATTCTGCCAGTAACGCTGTGTGAAAATCAAAGAATTAGAAAGGAATGTTCTCTCTGTAAAATATCGAATAAGTAGGTAAGAACGTTTTCAGAAGAAAGGAAATTATATTTCTTGCAAAATGTGATATAATTTACAGGTGACTCTCTATCATTTGGAATAGTTAAGCAAGCAGCTTCTTGCTACACAGCTCGAACAACTTGTAATCATGCTTCTTGTAATGCAATTAGATCAAGCATCTCTCATTACAAATAACATTCTACGTGTTTATACTGCTTACTGCAATTTTTATGCTCTTTGTACAATAGACTGCTGCTTAGTTAATGAATGTAAGAGGATTAACCCCTCTTCTTATTTGTATTACTTGTTCAGATCTTTAAAACAGCCTTAATAAATGTGAATGGGGTTATACAGAGAACTGACCTGTTTTGCTTTTAGAAAAAATGGGTCTTTTTATCAGAAGACAGAAAATACACAGAGGATTAGTATTTTCAAAACCACGAATGTTCATTTCCTTTTACGACATACTGCGAATAAAAGCAAAGACGAAAGTTGTCAAAATACTCAGTTATTCAAAATTCTGTATTTTTCGCGCTGATGAAAGAATCTAAACAACGTCATATGATTTCCTGCCTTTGCTCTGAATACACGCAGAGCGTGTTGGCATTCGGGCGAATGAACTGTTCTCTCTCATCAATTCTCGCTTTCCTGCGGAAAGTGATGTAATTGGTATTTAGATCAAATAATAATTGTTATCTCACACGTGAAAAAAGTATTTCAAAAGCATCACGATTAAATTAATTATTCTAGAAACGTTCATTACAGTAAAAGTTGCGTTGTGAAAGTCAATATTTTATTACTTTGCTCTAAATGTATCAAGAAATTTCTGAAAACTGAGACAGATTAAATACATGCCTTTCAATAATTACCATCTTACACGTTTACATTTTCTGGAGAACTGTACAGCCGTTCATCACTGAATATTTACTCAGAATATAATTATTTGTACAAAAAAGCATCATCCCTCTCTTTTAAACATAAATTGCATTTTATTCATTACTTTTGGAAATGTATGCATTTTATCATATATTACCACTTATTTGCTATTACCGTTGGTGTTTTAAATCAATATACATTTTGTACATCTTAATAAAAAATACAAACTTTTCTCCCAGAAAAATTTCTGATTTTATTATAAGATTATAAAACTTTAGAATTTTATCATTAAGTAGTAAAATTAGGATTTTTCAAAAGGTAATGAATTTCCAGTTGTACCTGTAGAAGTTATTTCTTTGTTGAAATGTACATTAAGTAATTGTTAGACCAACGTTTCCAGACGGATTGAATTCCTTTTGTAAATTTTTTCCAGTATAATTTACATTTCATTAAAAATATGCTCTTTTTAAATGGAATTTATCATGAAAAGAATTTTTAACCTATAATTACATAAAATTATTTCTATTAAAAACTACTTTAAGAGAGAATTCGAATTAGAAGAATGAAGTTCTGAAGAGACTAAATTTTATTCAAAAAGCAAAAATTTAGAATTTAGTATGTAATCTTATTGTCAGTAAATTACTAAATTTGAAGGTTAAAGTAATTTTCTTTTCTGAAACTCCTTACAACGAGCAGATATCATTCTAACCCACAGTATAAGTTTTCACTTTTATTTAGAATTAATAACTGCATATACGAATAACTTCCACATACTTCCTACCATTATTATTAATTGATAGCTACTTTTAGCATTTACCATTATTATTAATTGATAGCTACTTTTACCATTTACCATTATTATTACTGCTACTACTTTTTACCATTATTATTAATTGATAGCAAATAAATCTTGCTATATTAATTACCTTTATTTCACAAATACTGCAAAATATTTTTTGCCTTATTTTACGAACGAATGCTTTTCTTCAAAAGAAAAAAAACAAAAACTTTCTCAGTGTTATTAAATTTTATAAAAGTGCAAACGGTCAGTTCAAGGCGTGTATCCAATAAAACTTTATAATAGTTAGGCCATCATTTGATGAACATCATTTTGCGAAACTTCAGTTTGTATGTAATTACTCCTTGTAAATTTATTTAACCAAATTTTTCATTTAATTAAATCTAAATTCAATCTTTCTGATTAAAATAACGTAACAGAAAGAAATCGAAAGGTTTTATGAATTAAAGCACGCTACGATTCTAAAATTTTTAAATATCATTACAGTAGTTTTTCTACGCGATTAAAATCATTCTTTTAAAATTTCATTTTCTTTAAATTACTTGCTCAGAAAGCCAAGTTATGTCATGGGAATTATATGCTGAAAATTTTAAAAATTTATAATATTTTAACAATTTTTTATGGATAATTTTTATAACCATGTGAATAAAAAAATTAGCAATATACAAATTATGTTTATAAGCATTTCAAACGATTCAGTGCATAAGACAAATAAAATGTTTTACTGATGGATTTCTGTAATTTCAGCCCGATAAAAGGAGAAATTGCTGGTTTATTGTAACTTTATTTGTCATTGGGTTATGTACATTAAAACCTTGAAAAAAGAACTGTACTCTTACCAAAAATCTAACCTGAGATCTTCTGATTGATAGCTGAAGGCATTAATTACAGCAGCACAATAATAAATTATAGGAACCCGATAACAATCTCGACTATGTTCTATGGATACAAGGTTTCATCTTGTGATGGCAACAACTCTTTATATTTGCTCCTCATGAAATATTTACAATATTGCTCTTGCATCTGTTTTGCAATGTTCATTTAATTTTCTGTATCATATAAGCAGAACTTAGCTATTTATCAAATCACGAAAATCCACTTCAGTGGGAAACATTCATCGTCACAGAAATTATTTCCCGCTACGCAGAAATGTTGTGGTATTTAATATTTATATTTAAAATAACTTACATATGATGAGCCATTTATATTAAAATTTGTGAAATAAATTTTTATACATTACTGTAGTACCATTATTTTTATTTTACATTTCAGGGCATTTATTATGCGAATTCTTTCCTTAAATTCGTGCGCGTTATTATACGAGGCGTATTCAGAAACTAAGTACCGTTTTGAAAAAAAAAAAAAAAAAAAAAAAAAAAAAAAAAAAAAATAGTAAAACAATTTTTTCGAATCCAATTTTATTTTTACATGAAAATACATGTCTTAAACTATTTTTCAACATAGTTTCCGCCAATGATCAAACACTTGTCATAGCGGGTGACCAGTTTTTTATACCATCGTCAAAGAAACTTCCCGCCAGTTTCGATAACCACGACTCCACAGCATTTTTCGTGTCATCGTCAGATCCAAAGCGCTTGCCACCAAGCTCGCGCTTCATGTGCAGGAACAAGTGATAGTCGGACGGCGCCAAGTCCGGGCTGTACGGCGGGTGATCGAACTGCTCCCAATGAAACTGTCGAATTAACGATTGAGTGACACCAGCAGTATGGGGCCGAGCATTGTCATGGAGCAACACAATTCCTTTACTGAGCATTCCTCTTCGTTTGTTTTGAATGGCACGCCTTAGTTTTGTTAAAGTCTCACAATATCGTGCCGCATTAATGGTTTCACCTCTGGGAAGAAATTCAGTAAGCAAAACGCCTTTCCTATCCCAGAAGACAGTGCACATGATTTTTTGTGATGACATTGTCACTTTGAACTTTTGTTTTTTCGGAGAATGAGTGTGTCTCCACTCCATCGATTGTTGTTTCGATTCTGGTGTGAAATGACACACCCAAGTTTCATCACCTGTCACAATTTGGTTTAAAAGTTTTCTCCCTCATCACTGTACCGCGTGAGAAATGTCAGGGCACTACCAAGTCGCTTTGTTTTGTGAACATCAGTGAGCATTTTTGGAACCCATCGGGAACACAGTTTGCGATAATTCAAGCGGTCAGACACAATTTCGAACAAAACAGTACGTGAAATTTGTGGAAATGCCTCTGAAAGAGTTGTCATTGTGAAGCGTCTTTTCTCATGAATTGCTTCATCAACTTTCCTTACCAAATCATCGGTGACAACAGAAGGCCGACCACTCCGAGCCTCGGCGTGGACATTTGTTCGACCTGCATTAAACATTCTTACCCACTTTCTCACCATTCCATCACTTATCGCGTATTCACCGTAAACTTCTGTCACTTGACGATAAATTTCGGCCGGTTTAACCATTCCTCGCGTTCAAAAATTTAATCACGGCACGAATCTCACAGTCAGCGGGAGAACTAATTGTCTTAAACATTTTGAATGTGCACAGCAAACTGAAAACACAACATAGAGCAACCAAAATGACGACAATTGAAAGTCAGTGAACAAGAAAGACTAGTGCGCGTGCGCGGGACGCCTACCACAGCGCTGCGACGGCGCTAGAATGAAACGGTACTTTCCGAATACGCTACGTATTAAACAATGAAAGTTGCTCATTTACTCAAGTTATATATGATAGAACGTCTCTTCCATATCTTTAAACAATTACGTTTACTTTTTAAATAAAATTTTAAACTTTACTCCAATTACTAATAAATAAATTACGTAAATAGAGAATTAGTATTTATTATAAAACACATAAATGTACTAGCCACACAGAAACTTTTCTATGAAAGAAAACGGGGCATTTATGTTACATAAAGAGAGAATAGTTATACTATATGACTATTATTTATGTTATATATGATGAAATTAATCCGTAAAAATAAGTTTATTTGAGATAAATAACTGGAACAAATAACTGGAGCTGGTTACAGATCAAGTTAGTTGCTTCCAATCTGAAGACAAGTGTTGATACATTAGCGGCACCTTTAATATCAGGAGGGAATCTTGAATAGCCGTTCTGATGAAACCTGCTGAAGATATGGGTGTATCTGAATTCAAAGTATACTGCTTGAATAAAATAAAAATTTACAGACATTACTTTTAGAAAAATTTGTATGTAGCACTATAAGAAGAAAATACTGAGTCAGCTCAATACACACACTTTCTCATTACTAAACGTGGATGAGAACATTTACAATGAAATCACATACACTGACAGTATTGCATGAATACTTAGTTTGCAATGTATTGCAAAAACAGTTGCAAGAACACAAAGCACACACTTTTCACAGCGCAAACGTGAATGAGGAGAGGAACGTTGAAATCACATGCACTGACAGTATTGCATGAACACTGAAATTACACTGAAGGTAATGCCTTTGAAAAAGGGGGAGATGATAGCAGCGAAGATATTAACTATTCGTATGTGGCCAAAAATGAGAGCGGTGTGGTGAGTAAATCCAAATAAGAGATGTTGAATGGCTAATTGCTGCAGAATTTACATAAGTACGGAAGTAAAGAGTAATATTAAAAATTAAATTAAACTAAAACAGAGATTTCAAAATAATCAAAGTACTGACATATGTTAAAAGTGT